CATACACTGTGATAGTCAAGCGGCAATTGGAAGGGCTGTGAGCGTTATGTATAACGATAAATCTCGTCAAAAACGACGACGATATAAAACCGTTAGGCAATTACTCTCTAGAGGAATTATCACGATTGACTATGTAAACTCAAGTGATAATGTGTCGGATCCATTTACAAAAGGTCTAATTGGAGAGGTAGTTGAGAAATCATCAAGAGGAATGAGACTATGGCCGAGAACAAGTCATTGTGGCGGTAACTCTACCTAGAAGACTGGAGATTCCAAGATCTAGGTTCAAGGAGATCAAACAGAGTCATTAATGACGGTTCAACATTGTCAACTAAAATTTTGGTCCATTCTCGTGATGAGACAATGTTCAGTACCAAGGATAAAGCATTAAGGCTTTTTAATAATTTCTAAATTTGATACGGGGTATATCAAATAGTGTATCTACGGGATGACACATTTAGGAATCACCTATGTAAGTGTGAAGTGTTAGCCGCTTCAAGGAGAACTTTGTAAGGCCAGTTCTCTACGCACTTATGAAACCAGGCGGTGTTTATGGCTGAAATGAACACAACGATGGGAACCAAAGACGGTTAAGAGTTGGTTGTGTGACTTATGGTTGTCTAGGTATACACCAAAGTTCGACGGTTCAAAGATATCAAATCTATCGATTGACTGAGTATATCCGACATAAGTTCATTATGGAAAGTTCAAAGGGAAACCTACTTATCCAGATGTAATTAATCCTTGCTTGTGAATCACACAGTTTTTCATGCATATTTCCGTGATATAGCCATTCCCTATTCATGTGGGGGATTGTTGGGTTTTTTAAGCATTAATATGGCTTAAAAGAGGGTGAATGAGAAATGGAGGGAAATAAAATTTTTAAGTGAAATTTTAAGTTTACCCCCCTTGACAAAGGGACATTGTCCCATATTGGAAGAGGACGAGGTTTTTAATGGGTATATAAGCAATTGCTCTTCTTCTAGCTCTTAAAGAGTTGAGAAGAAGGCAAGCCTCGCGCCGTCGTCATCGTCGCTCAGCTTCGGCTTCGGATTTGGTCAAACAGAAATGTTCTTAAAAATATTTGTTTTAATAACAGATTATTAGTATTAATATTAAAATCCAACGGAAACATTTTCAATTTTTCAGTTGTGTAACTGAAAATTAAACCTCCCTCTTTGGATTTGGTCAAATGATCGATTGATTGATTGATTTATTTTTTGGACCAAATTTATTTGTTAATAGTAAATATTAACAGAAATGTTATTAAAAATATTTGTTTTAATAACAGAATATTAATATTAATATTAAAATCCAACGGAAACATTTTCAGTATTTCAGTTGTGTAACTGAAAATTAAACCTCCCTCTTCAATTCCCCGTTTATTATTGCATAAATTAGCCATTTATGTTTTGGCATTTATGCTATGGCCGTTTTGCATAAACAACCATTCTGAAGAGTTGCACCTCTTCAGTTTTCAGGCCAACCTTGGCTATAAATACAAGTCTATTCTCTCAGAATTTCAAAATGATTTTCTGAGTTCTCCTCCTTTCTTCTGCATACTAAGCAACAGTAAGTGTGATTTGCTACCGAACTTTGTGTTCGCTGAAACACTGGGGTTTGAAGTACCATTACACCAGTGTGTAATTCGTTCTATCCTGGGAGGAAATAATCCATAACTTTGGGTACTAGGAGGGGATTAAATTCCTTAAAGAAACACTGTGAATTCATGGGCTCGAATTAACTTTTGTTTCTTTACATTTTTTATTTATATGTTATTCTATTTTTTTCAGAATTAGTTTACAAATACAGTTTAATAACAGTACTTATGTATTATTCCTTTCAATGCTTGATAGTTGTGGTGCGTGGCAAATGGGTAGCTACATTTTCGTTTTTCCCCCCTACCTTTTGTTGGTCCATTCTCATCAATGAAAAAGGGGGGGAAATGGTATCCACAGAGTCTGTGCAACAAAACCTGGGATTAAGATTTTATTTTTATTGTTTATCTTTTTGTGTCTTGTTTGTAGGGGAGTTTTGGAGCTATTATAAAATTGTCTTTGTATGATTTATATGTCATAGGTTCGAATAGTGAGAATATCCATTAATAGCTTGTTTGGATAGTTGTTACATGTCGTTTCATAATGTATTGTATTGTATTATATTGTTTGATGAATACAATGTTTGGATAGGTTGCATCATTATCCGTCGTTTCATGATGTCACACATAAAAAATATGAAGAATAAACTTGTAACATTACTAAGAAAAAATAGGATACGAAGTAGAATTATTATATAAAAAAGTAGAGTAAAGGATAAAATATGATTATTTACTAATAAAAAAGGGCAAAATGAGAGAAAAGAGCAAGGTAACAATGCCACCACACCAAACCTATCATTACATAAAGTGATACTTTTCGTCGTTACGCAGCGACGGATTTAACAATATGATACAATAAAATTTAAGTACCAATCAAAACAAATATCTTATTTAAAGTAACAATATGATACAATTCAATAGGTAACAACCATCCAAACTAGCTATAATGCTAGTATTGGGATAGGTTGTTGTTAAGTGTTTGCCATAATTTTCTTACCATATTTGGTTTTCCTATTTGTTGAAGGAAAGGGCAATATAATTACCTTAATTGAGTTTTCCTTTTTGTAGAAGGAAATTATAATTCTCTTATACTTGGTTAGTCCTTTTTCTTGTAGGAAAAAGTTTGGAGTTCTATAAATTGAAGATTCGTCCTTCTCATTCAGTAGCATCCACAATGTAGCCATAGGGGCTTGAGAGTAGTATTTAGGGGGAGAACTTTACGGGACAAGTGTTAGTGTGTCACTTGTGTTTGCCTCTTCGTGAGGTTGTTCTCTCGATATTTTGTACTCTCTTTTTATATAGTGGATTGCTCATCTCCGCGGTGGACGTAGGTCAGTTGACCGAACCACGTTAAATGTTTGTGTCTCTTTTGGTATATTTCTCCTTTGTTGTATGATTTATCGTCGCTCAAGGTTCGCTTTGCTAGCTTCCATATGACACTTGATTTTTACGGTCCTAACAAGTGGTATCAGAGCGAGGTTCAAGATAGGTTCATCTTGGCGGGTTCAGTTTTAGCCGCAACATATTTGACGATAATCGTAATTTTTGTCTAAGAAATTTGACCAGTGTGCTACGCACGTTGAGACAAACTTTGTGGTGGAGAGTTGGAGATGCGACCTGTTGAAGGCTATGTGAAAAAGGTGAATCAAGTTTATTTTGTCGGAAAATTCCGGCCAAGAGGGAGAATTGTTAGGTGTTTGCCATAATTTTCTTACCATATTTGATTTTTCTATTTGTTGAAGGAAAGAGCAATATAATTACCTTAATTGGGTTTTCCTTTTTGTAGAAGGAAATTATAATTCTCCTATACTTGGCTAGTCCTTTTTCTTGTAGGAAAAGATTTGGAGTTCTATAAATTGAAGATCCGTCATTCTCATTCAGTAGCATCCACAATGTAGCCATAGGGGCTTGAGAGTAGTATCTAGGGGGAGAACTTTACGGGACAAGTGTTAGTGTGTCACTTGTGTTTGCCTCTTCGTGAGGTTGTTCTCTCGATATTTTGTACTCTCTTTTTATATAGTGGATTGTTCATCTCCGCGGTGGACGTAGGTCAGTTGACCGAACCACGTTAAATGTTTGTGTGTCTTTTGGTATATTTCTTCTTTGTTGTATGATTTATCGTCGCTCAAGGTTTGTTTTGCTAGCTTCCGTATGATACCTGATTTTTGCGGTCCTAACAGTTGTCTATATTATACCCCTTGGGATGCAACCCTTCTCCGAATCCTGTGTGAATACGGGCCTTTTTGCCTTTTTGTGTCTTATTTCTTTACATGGTATTTCACATTTTCTTCTTGGTCAGCCATTTGAAAGATGCTCTTGGCCTAACCAGTTCAGTACCCATACATTTCATTGTTGTCTTTTTCTTCCCCTAATCCAATAAAAAACTATCCACACACATCCTATAGAATAAACAGAGAAGCAGAAAAAAGAACAGACAGACACCAATGGCCATGGCACAAATATTTAGAGAAATATTATTTCAAGAACCAAGTACAATTTTCATCAAAATCATGGTACTGATGAATTTAATATTTTCTGCAATATTGGGTATTTCAGAAGCTTTTGGAAAACAGAATCTTGAATATTCAAAGTTCTGGAATTTGAATTCTCAAAAGCAAGTCGAAACTAAGGTCCCAAGTAGAACTGGAATGCTTATAGCTTATACCCCTAGTCTAATAGCAAGTCTAGAATAAATAATCTATGTTGACCCAATGCAACAAGAGTCTAGTTAGGGACACCCAGAAACAATAGATACAAAACAAAAGAATCTTGTGATAGGAAAACAATATGTTTATATCATCAGACAAAAAGAAGGGAATAGGTTAGTAAACAATGCTTAAATCACTTAGTTTCAGCTACTTCTTTCCCCTGCTCTTTTCATATACTAGAGTAATTCCTTCCCATACGGAAGCCGAAGCAGAAACAAAGCTTTTTAGTTTGCGGCAAGTAGAGTAGAGTTTATTAATTGGTGTAGAGAGGTTTATTGAAGCAGCAACACAAGTGTAGAGTTTTAAAAAGGCAGATATGGAAGCAGCAGCACAAGTGTTCATGATACAAGCACATTCGAAAATAAGTGTAAATGCTTCTTTCATAGATTTGGTTCCGAAATAAGAACTTTAAGCATGTCAGCTCTATTCATGAAATTATTTTCAAAATACCACACATATAAACAACTTCATAAAGAAATCTTATATTTTCTAGGGGTATCTCATATTACTTGAAGAAAAAAGTAACTAGGATTTGCAGACAGCCTGTAATGAGCAAAATTCCTAAGTGAAATACTACTGAGATTAGTACTTCCTTTTTTATTTAGTGAAGAAAAATCAGTGTATGTAGCTCAGTTGTCTTCAAATCGAGTACTAAGTGAAACACTACTGAGATCCAAATTAAACCATGATCCAAATTATCTATGCTACACTTCTCATTAGCACGTGTTATTGTATATGTCCCACAATACACACCACAAATATTTAGAAACAGATCCCAAAATTGTCCTGAAAATCAATAGACTAGTTCTTAACACTATTTAGATATTTAGACTAGTTCCCACCTTTCAAGTCTTTTGTTTTTACTCCACCTCCAAAACCAAATACATGGCTACGAGTTTGAGGTCCAAAGCACTTTTCTACAATCTCTATGCTTGGAAGAGACGGTTCGGACATCACCAATTCTTGGATTTGAGCCTGAAAAGTATATAAAGAGATTATCAGAACACGTGCTAACTGAAAGTAAGGTAGATGTTCAATTAATCAAACGCACATGTTTCTCAATTGTTTCAAAATCAACAAGTGTGTTATTCTTCTTGCGAGTCTCAAAGAAAATAGTTGCCAAATCTGGTGGGTTGCCATCTTTTCCACCCTTCACATCAAAGTAAACCATGTCAAATAGTGTATGTCAATATTCAAAGAAAAGAATTGAGATATATTATGATAGCACCTTTTGATAAATAATTTCTCTAATTGGCTTGCTACCAATATGATGAAGCATCTTTAGCTTAGCTCTATTTGATGCGTTCCTATGGCTTCTCGCCTATATTTGCGTAACAATATTAGATTGAAATGTTATAAATAAATCTCAAACAATTGATCATAGTATGAAATGAAAATATATAACTAAGTATTATATGTCAAACCTGAAAACTTTCTGAAGAAAAATGCTCCTTTATCAACCATTCCCATTATTTTTTATCTACTCCCTTTGGCACATTTCTAAGAGCCTTTTGTATTGGCTTACCCTTCACATACTTTGCATGCAATTGTCCTCTCCATTTATTCCATAATTCTTTCATCCAACTCAAAATATGATCCCGATGAATATCCATGTCATCACTTTCAAATTTATCCTACAATAAAATAAATAAGTTTTAAACCTTTAGAGTATGTGAAAATAAATTAGTAGTCATTCAATGATTCAATGTCAAGAATTGGAATTCCCTCATAGTATCTGCTAAAAAGACAAAAATCCATGTAATTCAGTCAATAAGAAAAAGAATAATTACTAGGGAACATCAGTGTTCTAGCATTACAGAGATAATTCCTTGCCAACATCTAGTTGCCAACCTAAGAAGTCTAACAGATTAGAAGCAGGAGTAAGTGCGTTAATTGTCCACTTAGTCTTATAATCTCTTCTCTAACAGATAAGTTCATTCTATATAAGAAATAAAGCTCCTAGCATATATAATCAAATGAGAGAAAAATATATAAGTAATAGAGGCCATAGCCACATCTCCAGATTAGTAAGAAAAGAGGAACCTAAGAATAAAAACAGAACACTCAATCCAATTACCTCAACAGCTGCCCACATATGATTTAATTTTTCTTCCTTAATGTCATCCCACGATGATACACCCAACGGACACATATTATGGTCACGAACTAATTTTCCCAAGGGCCTCGCAAATAGATTGCTATTCTTTCCAACTGTTCGATTATTGTAAAATGTTACTTTTAGCTTCTGCCCCACTTCAAGTGATGCAACTTCTTTGTACTTGTTACTTCCTCGAACTTTTTTTACCTTACTAGTACATGAACCTACATTTACATAATGTAAAAGTATTTGTAAATATTACACAAATAATCAACTTATGATCGAATAGATTTAAGAACATACTTGGTTCAACTGTTTGGGTAGATTCCATCACTTGACCAGTAGATGGAGAAAATGCAATATCAGTTTGCACATGCTTTTTCTCATGAACAGAGGGAGTTACATTTGTTGTTCGCATTTCTTGAGCAGCAAACATTGTATAATTTGATTTTGTGCTGTTAGAAGTTCTTGCCATGCCTTGACTAGCGTAAAGAGCATTATGATGAAAGGATCCCACCTTATTTCCAGAAACCTCTGAATAGGACAACGATTTAAGCTCTCGCCCTCGTCCTCGTCTCATCCCTATAGCACCTGCAAGAAATCATATTAGTACAAAATTTTGCATTAAAATTTAGTTATATAAATTAGCAACTCCATAGATGTGAAGAAGAAAACTTTAGCAGATTGATACAACAATTGAATCTGATATCCTTAAAAGTGGTCATTGTAATCAGATTAGGTCATTGTTATATATTGATTAAGATATTTCAAGAGAGAAACTAAGAATGTATTTGTACTCTAATTATGTAATTATGCCTCTCTTTTGTCTATTTAGGTTCTCAATTCATAATATCTTGTACGTGTTAGACTTAGTACGAAGAGGAAATCAGTTGTCTGAGCCTCTCATTTCCTTTATCAACTCCAACTGAGATAGGATGAAGGTAGAGTGTTGTGTTCCTAGCTCAGTAGATTTGATAAAGGAAATGAGAGGCTCAGACAACTGATTTCATCTTCGTACTATGTCTATTTTTCATCTAAGTAGAACTGTTTCTGCGGTAAATTCGAGAAATCATACTTGGTTCGACTGATTTGGGAGATTGTATAACTTTATCAGTAGATGGAGAAAATGAAACATCGGTTTGCATATGATCTTTCTCAAGAACCGAGGGGATTTTAATCGTGCTTCGCATTTCTTGAGCAGCAGACAATGTAGAATCTGATCTTGTATTGTTAGAAATTCTTGGCACACTTTGACTAGCATAAAGAATCCTCTGATGGAAGGAGGATCCCAACTTATTTTCTAACATCCCCGAAGAACACATAGATCTAAGCCCTCACCCCTGTTCCTTTGCTATAGCACCTAGTAACAAAAAAATCATATTAGTAAAAACTTTGACATTAGAATTCAGTTTGGACATATTAACAGCACAAAAAATTTGAGAAACCATACTTGTTTCACCTGTTTGAATGTATTTCATAACTTCATCAGTAGATGTATAAAATGAAATGTCAGTTTGTATTTCTTAAGCAGCATGTTTGGTAGAATCAGACAACCATAGATCTAAGCCCTCGCCCTCGGTCCTTCCCAATAGCACCAGGTGCAACGAATGTATATTTGTTAGTAGACTTCATAGTGGATCCCACCTCCTTTCCAGTCTTTAATGGTTTCATATTAAACATACAAAAAAATCACAAGAAAAATTAAGACATTATAAAGACAATGTACTATCAATGAAAAAATCATGTAATCAGAATATATAACAATGGTTCTTAATAAATAAATAAAAATAATATATAACAATGATATGCTAATGCATATAGAAATAGCATACCACATTCGTTCTTTTTCGTTTATTTTTGTGATTTTCTAAATCTACAATATCATCATCCGTTTGTTGCACAATCTCATAGGAATCACGAGGTTGCATCTTTCTCACTACACGCCAGCCTTTATTGGAATTATCATTAGCATAAAACACTTGAGATGCTTGGTCCGCTAATACAAAAGACTCATTTATTTTCAAAAATCGTCCCCAATTAACACTTACACAACCATATTCATCTTTCTTAACTCCTTTCGTGTTATCATACACATCAAACTAATTACATCAAAATAAAGCCACTCTTCTACCCATGAATTGTAATTCAAGAATATTAGTTAAAACTCCATAGTAATCAATATTTTCACTGTGTTTTTCAGTCTCTCCAACAACAATTACACCACAATTTTGAGTCCTTAACTGTTTATCATAATCTTCTCCATGAAATCTATATCCATTAACAACGTAGCCATTAAAATGTGTCACATATGGTGTAGGACCACGTGAAAGCGAGAGCAGATCTTCCATAAGCTGACTATTTTCTGCTTTATGCAATTTTGCAACCTATCAACAAGATAAAGTTGATTATTTTAGAATGAGTAATACAATATTAAGTTGCCACATTTGATGTGTACATATTACTCACCCTAACTTTAAACCATTCAATAAATTGTCTGTTCCACTCTCCATCAGACAAATTTTGAGTAGCATCTACATGAATTTGTGCAAACTCTCTACAAATTTAAGATGAAGCACAAATGTCATATAAAAATTGAAAGTAATCCTAAAGGAAACAAGGAGAATGAAATGATATGAAAGAAAAAATTCATACTCTAGAAATGGTAGAACTTCATCACAATTCTTTAGTATGTATATATGTGCCTGCTCCAATTCATTTGCTTCAAGTTCACACTGTTTTTTAGCTCCCAAAGATTTTCCAGAATTACAAAATAGAGATAACCCTCCATCAGATTTTTTTAAGCCACCATCATAATTTCGTTCAGGCCGATTAAAATTTGTATCAATTCTATGCAGATACCTTGAACACAAGGTCATACATTCATTTGCAAGGTACCCCTCTGCGATAGAGCCTTCTGGACAAGCCCTATTACCAATAAGAGATTTTAAAAAATATAACCATCGCTCTATAGGATACATCCACCGATATTGAATAGGTCCAGCAAGCATAGCTTCATTAGCCAAATGAATAGGCAAGTGTACCATGACATCAAAAAATGAAGGAGGGAAGACTTTTTCTAACTTGCAAAGAGTTATAGGAATTTGTGCTTCAATTCGTTCCAAGTCATCCATCATTAACACCTTAGCTCCAAGCATATTGAAAAATAAAGACAACTCAATAAGTGGTTCACATACATCTTTGGACAACATACCACGTAGTGCAAGAGGGAGTAAATGTTACAAAAGAACATGGCAATCATGACTCTTTAAGCCAGAAATCTTGTGTTATTTCAAGTTCACATTGAAAAATATTAGATGAAAATCCATCTGGAACCTTTAAATTTTTTAAAAAGAGGCATAATTTGTGCTTTTCTTGGGGAGATAATGTATAACTTGCAGTTGGAACTTCGTACTTTTCTCCCTTTTTGATGGGGTGCAGTTCCGGCCTAATGTTCATTTCTTGCAAATCTAGCCGAGCATTAATGGTGTCCTTGGTCTTTCCTTTGGCATTCACGATCATCCCCAAAATATTATCACATATATTTTTCTCAATATGCATAATGTCCAAATTATGCCGCAACAACAAAGATTTCCAGTAGGGAAGTTCAAAAAAATACTTCTCTTATTCCAGTTATCCTTTCGATTCTCATGTGATATTTTGATCTTTTTCTTTGGAACCTTCGTTAGATGTAGCCCTTCAAGATCCCGCACTTGATTAAGTATTTCAATACCAGAACGTATTTTTGGTGGGAGCCGTCGCTCTTTTGTGCCATCAAATGACTCCTTATCATTCCTCCATCTGTGATTAAGAGGAAGATATCGTCGGTGACCCATAAAATATTATTTCTTACTATTGGTCATCTAATTGAGAAAGTATCTTTATTGCAAAATTGGGCATGCCAATTTTCCTTTTGTACTCCATCCAGATAAATTTCCATATGCTGGAAAGTCATTAATGGTGAATAGCAAAGAAGCATGCAACTTAAAATTCTGTCCAGTAGATGCATCAAAGGTCTCAACACTAATTTCTCATAACTCATTTAGTTCCTCTATCAAAGGTTGAAGATATATGTCAATTGCATCTCCTGGACAATCTGGACCAGGAATAAGCATTGACATAATAAAATTTTCTTGTTTCATACACAACCAAGGTGGTAAATTATAAGGAATAAGTACCACCGGCCAAATGCTATATAAGGTTTTTGAATTGCGAAATGGCTGAAATTCATCACTAGCAAGTCCAAGTCGAACATTACGAGGCTCGGCCGCAAATGAGAGATGAAGTTCATCAAATGATTTCCAAGCCATTGAATCAGCTGGGTGCCTCATTATTCCATCATCAACTCTTTTATCATGATGCCATGTCATTAGAGAAGATGTCTTTGTAGACATAAACAACCTTTGAAGTCTAGGCTTTAATGGAAAATAGCACAAACTCTTAGCTACTATCTTTTTGCCTTTTTTATTCTTGGCTTCCCCGCTATGTTTATTTATTTTCCATCTGGATGCACCACAAATTTTACAAGAATCAAGTAAATTATCCTCCTTCCAGTATAACATGCAATCATTTATACAAGCATCAATCTTATAGTAGGAAAGCCCAAGATTCCGAATTACCTTCTTTGCCTCATAATATGAATTTGGCAAATCCGCTTCATCGGGCAACAACTCATCCTTTAACATTTTTAATAGCATTGTAAATGACTCATTGCTCCAGCAACCCATACTTTTTATGTGAAGCAATTTAATCAAAGTGAAAAGCTTTGAAATTTTTGAGTTTTGGTATAGTGGCTTCTCAAAATCCCTCAATAGACTGTAAAATCTTTTGGCTTCAACATTCGGTTCCTCTTGAAGTAAATCATCACAACCAATATCTGCAGTGCTTCTATCATGATTAGGATATAGATCTCTCAAAATTTCTTCTATTTCATCCTCACTCTCGTATTCTTCTACTTCATTATCATCTTCATCTTCAAGTTCCGACAGTGGCTCACCTAAAACTTCTCCATGGTGATACCAAAAAGTATAATTTTTTATTATTCCATATACTTTCAAATGTGACTCGACTGTCTCGCGTGTTCCTAATGTTGTGTTACAACATTTGACATAGGGACATCGTATTTCATACGATTCTCCTGTTGTTCTAAGAGCATAATCTAAAAACTTCTGCACCCCAATTAAATAGGCTTCATCGAGCCGATTATCAACAAGCTGCATCCATTGCTTACTTGGTGTCATAACCTTAAAGAGTATAAAAATATTAGATGAAAAAAATTATTTAGAATAACAAAATTACATAGATGCACACAACCTTTTATTAACTTGCAAACTCTTTTAGTGATCAATACTTCCTAAGATATCACAAGATGAGATAAACTATAAATTGAAAGTCAAAACAGATAATATACTCACACAATAAATACATGATGTGTCTTACATAAATTATTCCTATTCAGTTAATACATATTTCATCATAATTATTATGACTAACCATGGCACAGGTATATGTACTATTGTGATATTTTGACGGAGTTGACAAAACAACATAAACAAAGATAATGGAGGGAGATTTAGTAATGCAGAAAACTTTTCAGCTTTGTCGCTATTATCAACCCCATGATAGGAGCACATAACTCTTTCTCGCTATATTATATTCCTAACAACAATAGTTTAAAAACTGAATGATACAAAATTCTAATACAAGCATAACATAAATGAGTTTAAACAGAACCTTAATGTTTAATTTGAATAAATCAGATTTTATTTTTAACTTTTGCATATAATGGATTACATTAAAGATGGTTTATGCAATTTACATGTACAAACATACTGATTATGCTCTTACTGATTTTATTTTTAACTTTTGCATATAATGGATTACATGTGCTAAAATTCTAGAGTGAAGGAACTAAATTAGAACACATAATATGTAAAAAGTTCAACCAATTCTTCACCACATAACAAAATCCCACAATATACCCACGACAATTTCTTAGCCCTTCAAGCAAGTTTTCAAAACTCTTGTTTTGATGTAACCCTAATAGATAAAACCCCTCAATAAATCCACAAATACTCCAGTCTTAACACACAACAAAAATTAATATTTCAAAGAAAAAAAGAAAAGAAACCTAATGACAAAACCTCTGTTCTTGTTGTCCAAGCCCCAAAATCGAATCCAATACTCTCACTTTTACCTCCCACATAACAAAAATTAATGTTCCACATAAAGAAAAACTCAATCAAAGAAACATAGGTAAAAAAGAGAGAGAAATAAAGAAACAGATGAAAAAAAAAAATGAAGCAGAATAAGAAAAATTGAAGAAACTCAGTCTTGATGTAGCTGAATAATGTTGAGTGATTGAGAGGAATTTTTTTTAGCCAGACAATGCTTGATATCGAGCAACAAGTGTTTTAGGAGTTCAGGAAGTTCAAGGGTTTTGAGGAAGTACTTTCACTCATTTTTGATTCCCGCCTCTATCTCCCGCTGAATGTGATTATTAGAGACCGTTATATGTCTTTTTTTTCAGACCAGATTAAATCCCTTCGTTTAGGAAAAATAAATCGTGATTTATGGACCAAAAATAATCTCGTCCCTAAATCTTGGTCCCTAATAACCCTTTTTCTTGTAGTGGAATAAGGGCAAGATAAAATAAGATCGAATCCAAGAATGCAGTCAAACTCTAGGTAGTAAGAGTCATCTATGAATAAGATATAGAACCCATTTGGATTAGCTGACAAGCATTAGGTGCTGAAAAACAGTTTTAAGTGCTGAAATTGATAATAAGTTGCTGCAATATTTAATAAAAAAGTGCTGATAAGCTCTTTTTCTGTTAAAATGACTTAAATAACCTTAGAACTGTTTACACTTATAATAACGTAATTTCTTAAAAATTTTAGATTCCAGATCGATTCAAATACAAAATATTCTATTTGTCATTTTATTTTAAATACAGCTGTGCTTAGATAAGATAATTTTAATGATAAATATAATTTATTTTATGATAAGCATATAATCATAAGTTATAATAATTAATAAATTGATAAAAGTTTCTCAATAAAAAATAAACCTAAATAGAACAAATTATTCGAAGAGAAACAAACATTGTCTTCATCACCACAATACTTAGAAAGTAATATACCAAAAAATTGATATGTCCTCATTTATTACATACAGTTCAAAGATTAATACACAATCACATAGATACAAGTATGCAAAGGAACAAAGAATTTGCTTATCTTAAATAGTCAATGAGAATTGTAGACTTGAAGAGGTGGGAGAGGGGGGGATTAGGTTGAATACTTGAGGCAGTGAGTATCGATGTAGGAGTTTTGTTCTAAAAAGGAATATTGTTTACCGTGAAAATGATAACAACAATTAAATTTGTAAATGAGATTCTAAAAATACATGATCTATTTTTATGCTAGTTGTTAGAGCAGATGATGCTAAGAAGATGAAGTTCAATGATGAAATGCAAGCTTAAACGAGGCAGTGATCGGACCGATAGGTCGGCTGCCCGGATGTAGGACTGGTCGATGGGGGACCTCGGGGTCGACGTCTGGGTCAAACTCGAGCTATCGGGGGCAGTCGAAAATGGGATAACAGTTAAGATATGATTAAACAAGGCTCTTTATGGCCAATACCAAGTGATAGAATGAAAAACAAGTAAGAAAGCGATAAATATTAAAGTGACCTCGAACCAGTGAGAGCGAGCAAGTTAGAGAGAAGAAAAAGAGAGAGAGATATATATTATTGAACTTGTGGAGAAATAGTTGGAGCAACATCAGCCTTTTACAAGATGGTGCGGGTTCCCTTTATATAGGAGGGGAACCCGGCTATAGTACATGGCATTAAGTGTAAAGTATGGAGATGTGATGGTTAGACGTGACACTTTGGCGTAGGCTCTGGGTAGGCCGGCCCTGTCAGACTTAGCCGTGTGCCTTGGGAACTTCCCCTTTTGTTATGGCCTTGTCCTTCGTCTTCTTTGAGTCGGGACCCAACGAGCCCTGAGGGAGGGAACTCGGTCGTGGCTTCACGTCCTCGGGGCCTCGAGGCATTCTTCCGAAGTGGCTCAATGGCGAGAAATTGAGTCTTCTAATTTTGCCGCATACAGATAGTCTCTGCGTTTCCTAGAACGAAGCAATGGGAAATGATTCTGACACCTGACTTCTCGATCTCCTTACGGTGGCGTCTCACCAATGATGCAACCTGTGGCAAAAGTTTGTGACAACCGGGGTGCCTTGTGGACTTGTGCATTTTGACATCTTTTAATGCACTACCGATTCCCATTCTCCAAGGTGAGTGTACCGCCGTCGATTCGATTTTTCAAGAGCGCAGTAGTTGCATCCGCCGGTCAATCTTCCAAAGCCTTGATTATCGTGTCGTTACCCCCTATAAAATGGGGTGCATTGGTGCTGATTTTTCTATCCCAGTACCTTCGTTGGCTCATTTGCCCATTTCTTCTTATCATCTTCTTTTATCTCTGAACATCATGCTTGGGGCTCATGGCCTCAAAGCCGTTTGGCGGAGCTACCGTAGATCGTGTTGTGGACTCTTGTCGTGGCTTCCCTTTGTCGAGCATAATCATGCCATCCTGCTGCTACTGTGATTGCTGCCACATTTGCTGTTGCTGCTGTTGTTGGCCCGAGATGATGACGGACGAGGGTCAACTTTCCCTGCTCGTGAAAAGCTCTTTGAATTACATACCGCTGCTCAAAAGGGGGCCCAGATTATACACCGCTGGTCACCTTCATACCCCGGCTCGATGCGGTGCTCTGCCTCAAGCTGGAGTCTTACATGGCTAGATGTTCCAAGAAGTGAACTCTAAGTAGCCATGTCCGCTGTATCTCCGAGGTTTTCTTGGCTAGTGAGGGTCCTCGAGCTTCGGAGAGCTATGGTCATTTTTTCATCTCTCCCTACTTCTTGCCCTATCCCTTGGGGATATTAGTGTGGAAAGCCGGGATGAGGCTTCCGAGGATGCGCGTCTGGAGGCGCTCGTTATAGGAGGTGGAACTTCGAAGGTAGACTGATCTCTAGGCTTTTACTTCGCGTGTGCATCCTTCTGTTTCTTTCCCTTTTGGTGTAGAGATCCTCCGTTGGCTTTTGTAATTGTATGTAAGGATCCCTCGAGGGATGTTGTATATGGATTTTTATGAATATGAATATACTTCATTGACTTCTGCTTCCGATTCTTGCCTTATAACTACATGCTCTCGTGCCCTTTGAGGCCTTTGAATGTTTTCCTTTATTGTCGACCGCTAATATATTACTCGGATGCGAGCGTTCTTTCCAATCCTCTTTTGATTGACATGGCTCTTTTTGAGCCCATTGTCGTACCTCGGACCAGGCCCGGACTGGTCCAACAGGTTCGGGTTGGCGAGCCCTCCGAGTTGCAAGGAGATAGTATGGTGAGTTTTGGAGCTTTTGAGAATGGTGACCTGAGTGAAGGTCAGCTTTGGGTACTTGGGGGTCTTTTTTGAACTTGATACTGATAGCTTCCTAAAGTGTAGGGGATGGACTTCTGTTGAGGGGCTGCCTGTGCTCAGGCGCTGCCTCGAGCCTTCATGGAGCCTTCATAACCGGAGCTTTGCTTGCTTGTTTTCCTTTCGAAAAAGGGAAACTATGAGATTGGTTAAAGCCTCGAGTTAAATGATGTCATTGAAGGCTTCTCGAAGCCTGACTTCTCTTTTTTGGCGGAGATCCTCGAGGTAGGGCACTACCTCGAGACTGGAGACAATACATTTGACTCTTTGAGGCCTAACTTCTTGTCGATGGATGCCTCTGGGGTCGGGTACCGCTCCGGGATCTGTGTCGAGACCATTGGTTTCCCGAGGCTCACTCCGGATAGGTGAATCGTCGCTATTTTCCGCATACATGTGGGGCGTCTTCGTCTTCTTCAAAATGCCTCACTATTTTAGATATCTACCCTTCCGCCTTGGCATAGGGTTCTTCATTTCTTTAGGTGCAAAAAGCGTTGGCGCATGTTCCTACTTTAGTCTGTCAATTCTACCATAGTCATGGCAACTACTTCGGGGCCAGAACCGATAGGGAGGGGAGAGTTCCACACTCGGCGCTCAGGATCCGGGGGAGTTCCCTCCGAAGACTGTGTCTTTGATAAAGGAGGAACATCTGGAGATAGTGAGGAGATATTGCGGATGGAGCGAGGAGATAACGCTGTAGGTGCTTTCCCTAGGTGAGAGCATTACGGACTTTGCTGACGGATTCTTAAGCGTGTACCTATATCCCTTCGCATTTGGCCCCCTTGACAAAGTCACGCTTGATTTCTGCATAAAGTATCAGGTTACCCTGGCGCAGATACATCTGTCATTTTGGCGAGTGGTGTTGATGATGAGGTTTTTTGCGGAGAAGGTCGGGCTTGAATTCTTCCTCAGCAACCTTGTCAGGCTATACCGACCCTTTCATCACCTAGGCCTGTTAACCTTGAGGTAATGTTCATCCACGCCTTTTGTTGTTGATGATGAATAAGGTGATAACTAAAAGTGGATTAGTCGATTCATCCGGGTCCGGACGACTGACATTGTCCTCGTAGAGCTTATACTGTTTATCGAGGGTTGGAATCACGCTCGTGAGTGGAATGCCTGGCGCTTTCTCAGGTTTTGCTTATAGCAAAAGTCTATTGAGTAATTGTTCTTCTCCCCTTTTGTAGCAACTTCATGGACGCCGGGCGAAGTTCTCGATTTGCTCGGCAGGGTCCGGAGGTTGGTGACCTATTCGTCCTGCGACGAGCATAGGTGGTGAGTTGTGTCCCGTAACAGATGGGAAGAGAAATTCCAAGGTGTGCGCGTACGATGTCTTTACCTTGGCCTTCGTATATTTGAGATGACACTTTCCTTTTTCTTTAGCACTGGTATTGTCATTGCAGGTATCGAGGAAAGGGCATCGTCCGAGCCTGCCATTCCCGGAGTGTTTGATTCCTAGACGGTGGTTTCTCCGAGTGAATATGCTTTGCCCGAGGTTGGTTCTCCTGGGGCCGAAGGGGCAGGATCAACATGAGTGTGCTCTAACTTCGAGGAAGTCCGCCGGCTTCACTTTATGGTAAGTTTAGGAGCAGTTCTTCTATATTCCGCACCCTCCTTTCTTCATCGAGTTTTCCTTTTGCAGACCTGTGATAGGCTCATGTCTTAGCTGCTCCGTCAAGGATCCAGGCTTTGGAGAGTTCTGGATGAGGGTGAGTCCCTTAGGCTCCTTAGCGAGGAGATGTAGGTTGAGTTGCTGCATTGGCGATATGAGGTGTACCGGAGCTCGAATTACGAGAGTTATTTGATGGAGCAGGTGACCTTTCGTAGCATGCACTTCGCTCTTTTTGGCCCTTTAGGTTAACCCTTTTTTCCTATGTTAGCTGCAAAAAAAACGGAGGCCTTGGAGTACCTCAAGGGCGACACTAACCGCGTCAGGAATGCTTGTGGTGAGCTAAGGGCTCAGGTGCAAGCTTAAGCTTTAGATGAGA